ACACGAGATGACTAAGCTGCGACAAACAACAAAGGCATCACGCATCAAAACGCCGATCTTGTTTGCCGCGACTCTTGTCTTCTACCACCACGTCCTCAGATGGCGCCGTCCATCCCAGACGAAATCATCTCCGAAATCGTCACTCCCGTCCTCCATATACCCGATGTTCGCTTCTCCTACACCATCACCACGAACAGCCCTTTCGCGATCTCTGGAGAGTCGACATCCGCGATTCTCCTGGTCTGCAAGGCCTGGCTACGTGTCTCCACTCCGCTCCTCTACAATGTGGTAGTCCTCCGCTCCGGAGCCCAGGCCAGAGCCCTCGCTTCGACGCTGAAGAAGAACCCCGACCTTGGTCTATTCATCAAGAAACTACGCGTCGAGGGCGGATTCGGGGTGTGCATGCATGATCTCCTCCGACTCACGCCAAACATCACCGACATCGTCGTTTCTCTGCAACTCCACTCATCCGACTCTTCCTCCGGCCTCGTCCTCGGCTTGCCGTTGATAAACCCAAAGCGGCTGATCGTCTGGGACGAAGACGACGACCGGAAGATGCTCAACAACAAGCACGTAAAGCAGTTGGTGGAGGCTCTCAAGGGACTGAAATGGACGAACCTCGTGCGTGTTTTGTCATCGCTGCGCGTGCCCATTACTCACCCTGAGCTCCAGACGACTGTGGTTTTCCCCTACTCCTACCTCGTCCCAGCTCGTGTCGATCTCATGAATACAATGAGCCGCATGCCAAGTGTTACTACGGCCTCGTTTCCCTTGGACTACGGCGTCCCCCGCGAAATTGTGGCTCTTGCGGAGGCGGCCTCTTTGCAGACGCTTGAAATTCGGGCTGTTGCATCGGTGCGGCGCCAAGAGAAAATCCTTGCCGATCCGGAGGTACCGAAGTGGAAGAAAAAGTTGCGATTTGTTGACCCACGGTGCGTCATATAATTTTTTGCCAAAAATACCTGGGATTTGACACGATCCCAAGTCTCATCATCGTGGAAAAGCCGCCAACCCCAGTCCCACCGCCGGCGCCACCAGTACGCGATCTATCGTTCATACCCCTGGCGGCCTCGTCGCAAGAAGCCGTTGACCTCGTGTGGAACCGGATTCTATATTTTGCGATGCTGCCCGACCCCAAGAACGATCTGACGGACCTTGACGCAATGCTGGAAATGCGGCGTCAGAAGAAATACAAAGGGGCCGATGCGATCCGATTGGAGTATCTGTTGGTCTCCAAACTTTCCACGTTCGTTCCGTTTCGTATGTGCTCTTTTCAGTGGATTTCACAACTGCTCTAGCGAGTGGGCCTCAAGTACTTGTACCGATGGCCATCTGTCGGCTTCTCGAAGATGGAACTGTTCCGCCAGAAACTGGCCGCTCAGCCGTCTCTTGGACTCCATATACGCGGATTGATCTTGCACTCATTATGCTCCCCGGAGCCTTCAGATCCGATCCAAATACCCATCTTTGCCCACACGCCGAATCTCACGCGTCTGGGTATTCATGCTCCGATCGAGCTCGATTGGGGCATGTTCTGCGCACTCGCGGACTCTGCGGGCGCAGCTCTCATCGAATTGGTGGTCGAAGTCGTCCCGCAGAAAACCGCGCCCGATGCGCCTCCAGATCTCACTGTCTTCTCCAAATTCACCGCTCTGCGCACTCTGTCATGGGATCACACATACCATGCGCTCTCACTGGCAGTGCTGAATGACAACGCCTCGGGAGGATTCCCGGCGCTGGAATCTGTGCATTTCCAGAAGCGGAATGCGTTTCTCCTCATGGCGTCGATGGAGTATGCTCCTATTCAACATATTGTTGCCGCTTCACAAGTTGACTCATGAACCAGACTGCCTTGCATTCGCTACATCGAGTCGTTTTACTATGACGTCTCCGAGATCGAACCATTTCTTAGACGGCATGGTAGCAAGATTTACGAACTGGGCGTAGCCCGGCATCGACTTGCTAAAATCTTGGTGATGTGTCCAAACCTTCGCAGTATCTATGTACGGTTTCTCCGTTGGAGACATTCCTTAGAGCAGGTACCTTCTTGGAAGACCGGATATGGAATCAAGCTGACGAACTACCCATAGGCGGTTCAGCGCGCCATTTTCGATGAAGCCGTACAGGACTTGAAGTACCCTGCTCGACACCAGGCTCTCGTCAAGATGGTCTTTGACAAGGATATCGAGTTCGTTTACCTTTTTTTTCAGGGTCAGATGATTCTGACGTCGACATTCTCCGCAGGGGCGCCAAGAAGGACGCTGAGGAGGATTGGAATCAGATATTCAACGCCTTTGAGCCGGGACATTTTCCCGCCCTGCGCGAGCTTCAGGTTACACGGTGCGAGTGGCCACCGATCAATGAGTACGTTTTCTGTGTTCAGAAATTCGAATTCGTTTTGAATGTGGTTCCTCAGACATGCGATCGCGCAGAGCGCTTGGGTGAAGCGGTCTGAACGGTTGCGCGAATTTGGGATCAAGTTGACTAATGAGGCTGGGGTGCATTGGCGTCCGCGGCTCAAGGGGTAAAGGAGAGTTACATCTCAACTTTGTGGCCCAGCTCGTCGCGCTACTATTATCCGTATTATTATCATGCAAGTATACTATGGTAACTGAACTTAGGTAATCCACCAATGCATATCACCGAAGACCCCAAGGAAATCCGAATCGTCGAAGTCTTCGTTTTCCAGCTCGGACTCTGCCTCCTCTGAGGTATCCGACTTCCAGGCGTCCGGTTGCAGTTCAACCGCAGTGAGTTCCACACCCAGGCCCCTCGCCTTGAGGTAGCTGATCTCCTCTTGGAATATCCCTGCACTTTGGACAAACTGCAATTCATCCTCGTCAAGGTAGAGTATCACAGATGCGAGTTGGCCCGCACGGGATCTCAGCATCTCCCACACGCCCTCCACCAGGTCCAGTTGAAGCACGCGGAGGTTCGGCAGGATCTCTGGCAACATCTCGGGCTCGTCAAGAGAGTGTCGTCCAATGTATTCAACCAGGCGGTGCATGATGTCGTCTGAACCGAAGAAATCCATGTAGGGCGTCAACCTCAACTCCAACGTGTGCAAGTTTGCAGTTGCCTTCAAAAGTGCTAGGATATCCGTATCCTGACTGGAGAGCTCTGATCGCAGGCGCAACACTTTCAAATCGCAGCTGGATCTTTTGGTGAGCTCCACGATCGCTTCGCAAGGGAAGTTGGCGTGGGAGCATCCGGTCAAGGAGAGGCTTTCGAGCTCCGGGGCCGTCAGGTCGACGAATAGCCGGGCACTCATTCGCAGGAAGGTGATGTCGAGCTCGCGCAAATTCGGGAGGATCACGGGTGTAGGAGGGACGATGTCATGCCCGATCTCATCGCACCAGAGTGTACAGCAGACCAACTATTCAAACTCAATCAACATGCAGGACAAGTCAGACAACCAACACACCTGTGCGCATCGGGTCAACAAATACGTCGTTTCGCTGGGCCAGAGCCACACGTTCGTCACGGCCACATTCGTCAAGGTCGCAGTGAAGGGAAGAGCTGCGACGAAGTCGAAGGAGCGGTCCAGAGGCCAGCCCGCCCTCGACGAATGTTCAAGAGAGATTGAAACATCCGTCAACTCGGGTACCTGGGCGAATACTCCCGATACACCAACGAGTTCCATGTCCCAATCAGTCCCTTCTGGCGCCGACTCCAAGATGATGCTGAGTTTCTGCATACACTCAAAGGGCGGCAACGGCGGCGCGTGCAGGAAAGTCGCCAACGTCTCTGGGGAAATGCTCAGGATGAGCGAGTCTAAGCGATGCGCATAAGGTGCGAGGAGTGACCTCAGCCTTGACGCGTCGCTCGGACTCGACCCCACTTCGACGCAAAAGGATATGACCGGCGGAGCGTAGTGGAGGTATCGGAGCAACATGCTGCGAAGACGATCAAAGTCCACTCGGAACCAATCTCCGTCGAAATAGAGGGAGAAGTGCTTCCAGAGATGTGCGTGGAAGGGATCGTGTGCCACTAGGCGCCAGCGCCGGCAGACTTGGGAGAATAATATGATTGATGGGGTGTTTGATTCGGAGGGTGGAATGCAGATTGGATCGGCTGCGGGGTTGGGGTAGCAAGCCTCGAGTATTTCCGAGAGGAGTTCACTCGGGAGTTGATTGATTGCAGATTCGGCGGACGAAGCCATAATGATGATGCCAGAGAGGTTGAAAGGGAACCTCGATTATATACGTCGGAGAACACAAAAAGAAGGACTTGGTTACGACGCTGTATTATCTACAGACTGGACCTGCGATCAAATGAAGAGGACACGACAACGAAGACTCCGTGGGTGCATCCATCTTTTTGATGGTGGTGTCTCTGGTCATTTTTTGTTCGAAAACAAAAGGATAAGGTATGAGCAAGTACTTTAGGCTGCGAGGCAACATCGCACTACACCGATAACAATAGGGTCACTTTCCATCGCGTTTCAAATCCGTGCCAGCAACCCGAAAGGAAGTTCACCGGGGCTGACCCGGCGGCACACTTGTTCGTGGGATTCATTGGTATCCAACCACCGCTGTCTTTGTCTCTCGAGCAGGAAGTACTGTGCCGACCGTTACTCCCACTGATGCCAGCTTTTCACAACAGTCGGTCTCACGGGCTACGCGAAACAATACTTTCCGTTGACTTTCCGCCCTCAGCCTTGCACATTGCGTGTCGCGTTTTGAGTCTTATAATAACGACTGCGAGTGTGGCACATCTTCAGTCGCTGCTGATGACTTGTCACTTTCCCCTGTTCAATCCAGGGCTGAGCCGTACGTGTTGAAGTATGGTGTTGATTTTTCGATTCCAGCACACCGATTAGTGACCATTAGTAACCTCCCGCGTGCACGTTTACTTGTACCCGTTCGCCTCGGGGGTGAGCCATTGGTAGGGAGTCGAGTAGCTTTTCCTCACCGTGCGTGATCGGAAATCATTGGAAATTTTTCCCTGATCACTGTTACATATATGTCAGGGAATCATAGTGCCAGCCGCCATTCATGTCCGATGTGGTGTATCGGTAACATATCCGCCTCTCATGAGTCTGTGCTCCAGGCTAACATGACGCGGTTGCGCGGGGTTCGATTCCCCGCATCGGAATTCCTTTTGCATTTTGTCCCTTCTCCTGCCCTCGTCTTGAGTGCTCGTCCCTCTGTATCTTTTGCCGTGCGACATGTAAACTCTTCCCATTGTTCCACATGGTTCCTGATCTCAGGCGCTGAACGATTTCGTATAGTCAAGAATACAAGTAAAATGTGCAACCTCAATGATCATCCGCCCCCTTCGTACCCCACTGAACCATCACACTCACCCCTCCCTTGGACTCGACCCTGCGCTGGCCAAGCATCGACACCGTCGAAGTCGAAGTCCCCACGAACCCCGCGGCCTCGCCCTGTATAAAGGCATCCACGAAAATCGGGTACCAAGGCCCATGCTCCTCCATCGTCCTCTGGTGATCAAGCGTCACCCAGCCCAACTCGGCAACCTCCTTCCACCACCCTTCATCCTGCTCATTACTCGTCACAATAACCCTCTCCGCGCTGACCCCCTTCTTCTCCATCAACTCGGCCTGCACCTCCTCCACCCTCCTCGCATACGTGCTCAGAGGCGCAAAACAATCCTCCAGGGGCGTATGGTACGTCAAGTCGCACCATATGGCAAAATCACCGCGCCGAATGTGGACAGCGATATACGGCGGGATCGCCTCGCCCTCCTCGATCCCAAAAACCTGCCGCGTGTACTTTTCCCCCGCGTTCCGAACCTCTCTCGACCAAGTCATGTGCTCCCCGACCGCATGCCACGCTGCAGACTTTTCATAGCCCGCCTCCAGGTTGGCGATGCCCCAATACAGGCTGTTGGTGCAAAACAGATGCTCGTCGGGAGGCAGTGAGGCGTGGTGCGTCGGCGAAGGGTCGATGTCGGAGAGGTTCTGCCAATGCGGGAACGTCGCAAGTGCCGCGAAACCCCACATCAAGGTGCTCGGGTCGCTGCCACCATCGCCAGCCTTGCGCATCCACTCCGGGGCGAGGGTGTACGAGATGTCTTGAATTCGAGTCAGAAAAATGATCATGGAGAACAGAAATTCAGACGCACCGAGCTTGAGGTCAACCGGCGGATCGAGGTACCACCCTCCACCCTCCTCCCAACGATAGTTCTGAATATCCCAACAGCCGAGGTCTTCCAGCGTCTCGCTCTTCAAATCCTTGACTTCCTTCCACTCGAGAATCGGCATACCCAGCTTCTTGGAGAGCGCCGGGACATCGAACACGTCGCCGAAATCACGGTGTGGGGTGTTGTCGCCGGGGATGTGCACCGGGCGGAAGCGAGGGATTATCGGGACACGATGGGTGATTTGCGCCAGGTACAGGACGTTCATCTGCAATCTTGTCAGTGGGTAGTCGATGAGAGGGAACAGAACGCACGTAGTTGATGACTTGGTTCGCTGTGCAAGAACGTCAGTGTAAGAACGACAGAGAGCACTCAAGACGACGCACTCCATCCGTTCGCAGGCCATGTCGTTATGTATTTGACATCTTGGCGCAAATTCTCTGTAAATTCGTCGGTGTGAGACTCGGCGAGCACGAAATCCGAATCTGAGGCGCACCCCTGAACGTCTCAGTCGCCGTCTCGTTCCTCAGAACCCGCCATCCCTGGTGGCCCGTCTCCGGTGCACCAACAGGCCCATCTTCCACAGCGAGCTCGGAATTCCCAAACATAGACCCATATCTGCCTTCTTCGATGTACGTCCAGGGCACTGGGGCGCTGAGGAAGAGGAGAGACATCGTCGCTAGTACCACGATTCCCGCTATGAGAAGCCGCCGGCGAGTCTGGAGAGTGCGGACGAAATCCATTGGGTCGTCAACAGTCGTTAGGTCGTGAAAATGCACTGGGCGAGAGTAGCGAGTGGGTGGTGGTGGTAGGAATGAAGAGAAGGGACGATAGGGGAGGTGAGACGGCTTCCGCGGAACCTAAATAAACACGATCGATCGGACGCAAACATTCGGCGTGAGGATTCCGCGGCTCGAGAAAAAGATGTGGCTCCCCTCCCTTCATCTCCAAGCATCGTTGGCGATGTCGGAGAGTATTACTATCGGCCGCGGTTTGTGGTTGGCGGCGGCGAAGGAGAAGAGGGAGAGGCCCACGGTTATTTAGAGCAGGCCTTGCACTAGTGTGGGCGTAGCCGGAGGCGGGGGACGCACGCTGCTGGTGGTGGCGGTGGGCAAGAAGAGGGATGAATCATGACGGTCTTGATCGGCGACTTTCGGTGTCGGCCATCAGAAAAAGCTCGCCCGTGCGGAGCAACGGCTCAAGTTCAAACTCGCTTCAAACCATTTAACCAATACAACTCCGACCCTTTCTGCCACACACATTTTCAAGGATTTGAAGGACAAGTGTCTGCGATACTCTGAGGTGTTCTCACGTTACAGAACTAGTAATGGAACCCAGCTCAGCTTCTCCAAATTCCTTCGCCATCCACTCATCGTGAAGGACCTGAAACTCATCAAAATGGGAGCTGGCCCATTTGCAACGCTCCGAGACCCTTGGACCCCATCCAAATATCCACTCGGTAAAATCCCGCGGCCAATTACACCGCGGTCTCATGTCGTAGAACATCCCCGCCTCACGCCTATATTTGTCAGCCAACTCGGTATCCCCGACCATGGCGGCGATCCGAGCGCAGATGTCGAGCATGAGTGGATAGGTAGTGATACTTTGCAGTCCCTCGTCTTTGATATTCTCGAGGCACTGATGCATATCTGCGAATGCCTTTGCTGGAGTGTCGAGGTTGTCTGCCAGATAACGTATGATACCCCACGCTCGAAGACTGGCCACTGCCTCTCGCGCAAAGTCGGACGATGGGGCCGGATTGGTGCAGGCGACACACTTGCATGCAGGCATACAAAAGGACAGTTGCCGATTTCGTTCAGCCTTTGGTGCTGCCAATAAGCCGATGTATGCGATGGTGATCTCTTCCCCTGGCGAAATCTTTCGCGCCACATGAACGACAAAGGAGAAGGAGGCGAAATCAAACTCGGCGATCGTGTTGGGCAAGCAGCTACGGGAGGATTGGTGGTTGCAAATAGGAAGAGAATGGCTATTGGCGCACCTGTGATTGATGCGCGATATGTCAAGGTATACAGCGCGGTAATCGCCCAGCTTCCACCTCTCAGTCGGTCCCCCAGGTAACTTTTCAGGTAAGTGAAAGTTGTTCGCAGTCGCGATGCGCAGGAGATCCCCTGCATGTGGAACATCTACCCCTTTCGCGAGCTTGCGATACGCGACGCGGTTCTCTGTGGGCATTTCATCCAATGCCACCTCAAAAGCCGCTTCTATCTCTTGCTTGGCCACAATGGCACTCGAGGACGCGGTTTCGGTCGGAAATATGAGGGCGGGGCGTTCAGAAAGGACTAGTTCCCCGGGTTTGAGAGCGCGTACGGCAAACATTCCCAGCCCCATATCCTTTGTCTGGCGAATCTCGTATGTGGGTTCTCCAGGATCTTCCATCGGCAGAGGAAAATCAGGCTGGGAGGAGATGATTTCCGCGATTATGGGTTCCGCGATGAGCACGGTATCGGGTCTCGTTGTTGCCGGCAATTTGATGAATTGGATGGTGGAATCGAAGGATGGAAGGGCTACTGCATGTGTAAATAAGGCTTTATGCGGGCGGCGGAACTGGCTTACCAGTGGACTCCATGGGTGTGTGGTCGGGGCCTGCTGCTGAGACGAAGGCGCAGTGAGTGCGGAGTTAGTAAAGTCTTATAAGTACTCACTGTTACTCATTCGCCGAGTCACGACAGTGAGAACTGAGACCGAAATACATTCGGAGTCGGACCGTTCGGCGAACTGAACTGTGGGAATTGTCTCGGCAACTCGGCAGCCATCACTCTTGCCTTCTTCTTTCGTCTTGACTCCCATCATCCCCCACTTCCAGACTGGTGTAAACAGCTCCTCATGATGCTCCGCAGAAACACCTCGTCAAGTCCACTTGGGGCTCTTCTCGGCCATCCTCCGGCTCCGTGTGTAAGCGCGAATTAACTGAACGCCGGTCGACAATCCCGCAATTCAGTAGGACGGATGCCATCACAGGTCTACTGACGCGTTCCTCGATATATAAAGGGCAATTCCGACCGCGCATCTCTCCTTCCATCCTACCTCCATGACCACCCACCACATCGCCGCCCTGCTCACCCCTGCATGGGGCCAGACGACGAGCTACATCAGCACAGCTACAGCTCTTTTAAACAAGGATCCAGATGTCTTCATTACCATCGTGCAGCATAATGTTATGGGTGCGTTTTAGCCACCTCACAGCTGGGACTGCTGACATTTGTTCTCCCAGTCGCACAGATGGAGACAGAATTGGCCACGGAGGGACGGGTATACGATAAACAGCGGCTCAGAATTGTTGGAGTGGGTCCAAAGGAGTCAGTTGTCTTGTTTTCTCTTGTGAATGCCATCTAATACCGCACTCAGCAAGGTGCCTGGATACATCGAGGGACTTGAACAAATGGTCGCTGGTTGGATCGTGACCCTCGAGGAATTGACGAGTGCGGAGGTTTGGCCCAAGCCTCGGACTGTTCATGTAAGCCGCGCAATATCTTTCTTTTCCTCCTGCTAACGGATGCCCAGCTGGATTGGAATCTCGGCTCCGGCGGAGACGTTGTCAAAGTCACTAAGCAAATTCTTGGCTCTGACTGCAAAACCATTCTGTTCTGGTCCACCGGCGCCGTCTCCATGCCCCTATTTCTCACCCAGCCAGACTTTGCCGCCATAGCTGAGGAGATCTACTGCTGACGAGGCTCGGCGTGCGGGGACGTTCACTGTCAGACTATCATTCAGCAAGTTGAGTGTCTCGTAATCTGCGCTGAATACGAGATGTTTACGAATAATATCACAGCTCGTCATGTCCTCGAATGGTACAGACAAGCTCACCGGCGCCGTGGTGAAATTCCCCGGCGGACTCGAGTTGTACGACCACGAAGTGCATCCCTACGCCGTAGGCCCCTCGCGCCTCATGGGCGCAGCCGTAGTCGACGCACACCGTTTCGCGAAAACAGTGGACGGATTAATCACCACGACCAGCAGCTGCTTGGAGGCGG